CCATAGTTATACTATTAAAAACAGTTTGATGTAGGCATAAAAACAGACATGTAGGCAAATGGAACAGAACAGAAGACTCAAATACAAGAACACATAACTACAGTGATCTAATATTTGACAGAGGACAAGAACATAAATTGAAGAAAAGATATCATATTTCTGCAGATGCAAGGAATACTAGATGTCCATATATAAAAGAATGAAATTAAAGTCATATCTATCACCCTGTACAAAATTTAACACTAGATGAATCAAAGACATCAATGTAAAGCTTGAATCACTTAAGGTGCTAGAACAAAACAGGCATTACCCCACAAGATTTATGTGTGAAAAATGACTTTCTTCGTAGGACCCTGATGCCCAAGAATTAAGGCCAACAGTGACAAATGAGAACTAATAAAACTAATAGCTTCTGTACAACTAAGGAAACCCTTAATTGAGTGAAGAGGAATTTCAGAGAGTGAGAGAGAATCCTTTCCAGCTATATGACTGACAGATGATTAAAACCCAGAATATATAAAGAACTCAAAAAACCCCAAAGATTCAGGGTAGGGGGCGTTTAAATAATGGGCTATAGATCTTAACAGACAGTTTTAAAAGGGAGAAATAAAAACAACTATGAAATATCTCAAAAGATGTTCATTTTTAGCAATTAGGGAAATGAAAATCAAAACAACTTTAAGATTTCATCTTACCCCTGCAAGAATATCTAAGATCAACAAAATAAACAACAACCAATGCTAGAGAAAATGTGAGGAAATGGGAACTCTCATTCACTGTGGCTTGGATTGTCAAGTGGTGCTGCCACTCTTGAAATCAATGTGGAGAATTTTTGAAAGGCTAAAAATAAATCTACCATATGATCCAGCTGTATCACTCCTTGGCATATACCCAATGGAGTCAATGTCCTACTTTATAACACTTGCTTAGCCATGTTTATTGTCACTCATTTATAATAGACAGGAAATGGAAGCAACCATTTTAGTGTACTTAAACTGATAATGATCAGGGAAATGTGGTACATATACACTATGGGATTCTCTTCATATGCAAAGAAAAATGAAATCTGCAGGTAAAATGATGGAGCTAGAAAATATTATATTGAGTGGAGTTACCTAGATTCAGAAAGACAAATGCCACATGTTTTCCTCCATCTTTTATCCTTAGTAACAAATCTGCAGATGTGAGTATGCAAATGGGGAACCACTGAAACTAGAAGGTAAAAAGAGACATTGCAGAAAGGAGAGTGCGAAAGAGAGGAACAGAAGGATTCAGATGCACACACACACACACACACACACACACACACACACACACACTCTCTCTCTCTCTCTCTCTCTCTCTCTCTCTCTCTCTCTCTCTCTCTCTCTCTTTCAATGAAGTAATTGGAGTGATAATGTCCCTTCAAGATTCATGGTTTAACAAAACTCTATTACCAGACACAGGAAAATGCTTTTTGAGTTGTTGGCCAGAGATGTCCAAGAGACTTCCTAAACAAACTGGCTATATCTCCTGCCTATGGTTGCCCCCCAGAAGTTGAGGATAAGTTCCTATTTCTGAAGATACTGTGCATTCCAAACACTGGTCTCAAAGGAGTCAAGCTGGCTAATACACCATCTCCTCCCTAGGGTCTGGCTTTCATAATACAAGCTGCCAAGGAAAGAAAGAAATCGATAGTCCTACACAGCTGTGATGCCTATAAATATGAACTACAACAATGACCATTATGACAAGATATCCCTAAAGGCACAAGGGTGATATTCATATATCTAATTGTATTTCAAGTCTACTTAGCAAGAGAGAAATCATACCTAGTTCTAAAAACCTAGTCAACTCCCTGGGGCTACTAAGGTCATGAATACCAGAGAAAAGGACCTACCATTGCTACCTTCATAAACTAATATAATTTCTACATGCATTATAAACACTAACTCTCATATTCACAGATATGTGTAGCTCTCACCCCTATCAAAGAATCATTTCTTTGTAGCTGAGATCATTAAAGAATGCTACAAGTGGTCAAAATACAGAGAACAAGTGATAATGTAATTCTTGTAGTTCTTAGGACAAATTGACACCTCAGTAACACAATCCCCCTTCCTAAGGCCGAGGGAGCATTTCAAGAACATATGTATACATATATGCAATGATAATAATTAAAGAAAAAAGAAGGAGTGAATTTGAAAAGGGGTAAGGGGGATATGGCAGGAGTTGGAAGGAAGAATGAGTAAGAAATTACATAATAAAATATCAATTTAACCAAAAAGAAAGAAAGCCTGAGTAAAGATTTCCTATGGAGATGGCTCCTGTGAAAGTCAAAGAGTTGGTATAACTAGAGTATGTGATCAAAGAACACTGTCCATAAAGGTCAAAGCAGATGTCATGCCAGAGTTGTCAGGAGGGTATGACATTGCTGGTGCTAACGGTTACAGTGAAACTGGATATTTACAGTAGGAATAGAAAAAATGTGACAGATGGGAGATATTTTGGGGATTTCAAGCATTTATCACTGGGGAAAAAGGAAGCATATTACATTTCAGAGAAATATAAAATCTAGGAAAAGACTATAAATCTGGGTTTTGATGAATTTGGCATGCTGTGGAAGAAGAAAGTGGTGACTGTTGTAGCTTTGGTCTTGAATGGGTAAATAAACAAATAATATGTGCACAGGGATGTCGTGTAGTTTACATGCCATTTAGAAACAGATCCTGATAATGTGAAATGTTTTCACAAGAGAAGCCAGGGCAATGAGGGTGGAACCACCTTGCTGTGTATAAGAAGAATGGTGAAAGCTCATGGAGAAGTACTGTGGGCAAGCAGAGTCATAATCTATAAATATTTGAACAGACATAATGCAAACTCTCTACTTGTGTTTAAGTGACAGAATAGCACAAGCTCACATAAAGCTTTAATTTAACTGCTCCATTACTCTACCAATAATGTTCTTTATTGATTTTTTTCCTTTTGTTACTTTTACTGGATAATAATGTGTGATGGTTAATGCTGATTTTCAGTTTTGCAGCATTTAGAATCACCAGAGACAAGCATCTGAGAATGTCTTGAGAGATTTTCTTGATTATGCTAACTGAAATGAGAATGCCATTTTCAATGTGATTGGCAAGGTCCTATTTTTTTATTAATTTTTTTCATACATTTTGACCATTCTTTCCCTTTCCTCAGCTCCTCCCCATATCCCTACCCACTCAACTTCATGTTCTTTCTCTCCCCCTGTCTCTCTGGCTCTGTGTCTCTAACTCGCTGTCTCTCTCTGTCTCTGTCTCTCAAGCACTATGTTCTTTCCTGGGCCTAAGTTACACGGTTTAGCATACAATAAAAAGTACCACAAATATTAAATGATTTCCCATTTTCTTATTACAATGTGTTCTTTCATTGCTAGGATGTGTGTGTTTCAAGTATTTATGTGAAATAACTTTTTTTAGCAGTATCACAAGTGAAAACATTTCAGTTTATCCTAATTAAGGCCACCTGATGTTTTGGCTATTACATGTCTGAAACTAGAATGCCATTCCAAGTACTCAAAATTAAATCTTCCAAAATATAAATAATTTATCAATTTATCAATTTAGAGCTTATAGGTGGTTTCAGTCTTAGGAAGTAGTGAAAGTATTTTTTTTCCAAGCTGTGAAACTCCTAATGATAGATGATTGTCAAAGTAAGTTCTTCGGATATTTAAATTTAACAAAGGATATTTTTATTTCTATCCTACTTCTTAAGGTTACCCATCACAGCATCATGTACATTGCAGTTCTGACAGGCTAATGGTACCCTGGAAACCATCATAGTTTCATTTACTGAAATTCATTAGTAAGTGAGGCTAGAACTGTGTGCATGCATAGGTCCTAGAGCTAGTGGTTTTGAAATCTGTATGTGCCAGACGGGTGGAGAGCATAAAATGTAGGAATTTGATGTTCTTTCAGTAAAAAGCAGCTGAGATAGCACAGCTTTCAACAGGGAATTTTCCACAATGCAGTGAAAAGGCTAGCCATTTTTGATTTGGAGGTGATGTTCAGAGGCCATCAAGAGTAATGAAAAAGAGATAATTGCAGCCTAGAATTTAAATATACTCTGTTATAACCTCTTCATTTTTAATAACAAAGGAAGCCTAGATGGAGAAAGTACACATATATCACTTGGAATTTAATATCCATCATTAACTGTTTTTATATTTTATGAGTTCTTAAACGGATCCAACAAATGCCCTTGTCTCAATTATCTCACATATGAAGCATGGCTGCTGATGCCTTCCTGTAAGATTTGTCCAAATAAAGTACTATAAATATGTCAACTGTTTGGATGTTTGGCACAAGTAGGGGTTGAATAATAGCTCAATGGTAGAAAGTTGCTTTATTTGTTTGTTTGTTTTTCTCTCCCATAGTTAAAAATTTTCCTCTGTTGGGTGTCCACCAAGAAGACTTGTAGGAAGAAATGGGTCAAGGTCTTGTATGAGACAATCACAACTCTAATTCTCCTCACTTAATTCAGCCTCAGCAACTATTTCATCTCTCTTTTTTCTTTCATTCATTCTTTCTTTAAATTTTGGTAGGATTTCATTTTGTAGGGTTTCCTTCAGTGCCTTGATGACCCCAGAATTCACTATTTAAAACTAGGCTAATCTCAAACTCACAGAACTCTGCCTACCTCTGCCTCCTCCTTATCCCAGCAACTATTTCTTGATGTTTTTCTACATACTAAGTATTGAAACAATAGAAAGATCAATCAGAGACTGTCCTTCGACTTGACATGCAACCCAAAAACAGCACAGCCCTTATGAATAGGAAATACAGTGTCAGGTCAATGAGCTCATCTTAACCTTAGATGAAAATTCCCAGAGATTAATGGACTGAATGACGACAGTACAGCCTTAAACTCTCTCCTTTTCAGCCCTGTATATGGACTTTTTAAGTGTTAATTATCTTGAATTTTCTCATTGATACCTAGTGTCTTTATTCATTCCCCATCTCTTTTTCTTTCTCTATCAGTCTGCGTGGCAGTGTGGAAGAACCACCACATGAGGACAGTCACCAACTACTTCATAGTCAACCTTTCCCTGGCAGACGTGCTTGTGACCATCACCTGCCTTCCAGCCACCTTAGTTGTTGACATTACTGAGACCTGGTTCTTTGGACAGTCCCTCTGCAAGGTCATTCCTTATTTGCAGGTAATTCTTTTTTGGGCCCTTTGAGAAATTATTTTAAATGTTTTCTATTATAGTCATGACCATCTGGTAAACTAGTTAATTAGTTAAGAAATAAGTATAAATATTCAGAAAGTAAAACACTTAAAGAAGATAATACTTGAGATTTGCTGAATATACAAGTTCAGTTCTAGATAAAATCGAGGCAACAATGCTGTTAATATTTCACAGTCTTCATTACTAGATGAATCATTGAACAAAGTAATGATTTAGCCTCCCCTAGATCAAGTAGCCATGAGCATTTGTTTTTCAATAATCAAGAATATCAGGGTTTTTTGTCTAAATGGTTTCTTTTCATCCTAAGGAATTAAGAGTTATGTGGATCAAAGAGGGGCAACTTGGGACATCAGTTCCGGGTTTGGAATGTCTGTTCTTCCATCTGTAGATGGTACCCTATCAAGTGATGGTACCCTATGTATTCAAAGACTCTTGGCAACTCACTAAAAATGGTAATTTTAATAAGATCTACCTCATATATAGCTGTTATGACAGATTATTTAGATCATTTACAAGAGATTCTTGCTCTGTGATTACCTCATCATGAACTTAAAACAATGCATTAAGAGAGTCAATGACCAGTATCATCACTAGATGTCTCTTGTCAACAGTACCACTGAGACATCTAGTGAGTAAACAGCGAGTGCAGTCTTTCTGTATCTGTTGACAAATTAAAAAAAAGAACAAGTACTTTCAAAAGAATTATTTTCTGACTGTATTTATGAATGTAAAGTCTTTATTAAAATATTCCTGTTAGTGACCATGGCAACACAATCCTAAGAGCTGTGTTCACCTTAGGAAGTGGACAGTGAAGTAAAACACAGGCTGTGTTCCTCCTAGGAAGCATATAGTGAAAGAAAAGATCAATGGTCCCTCTGTATCATCCCACAGTCCCCATCTACCCTTGTCCTTAGTCCCTGCACCATTCTAGGTGGTGATCACAATGTTTCCCAGAAGAAATAATGGGCCTCACGTAAGAGAAATTTGGAAGAGGTCACAAAAATCCATTGCTAGAAACAGTTTTATTTATTCTTTAGAAAGAAAATGTTAGAGACTTCAATTCAGCAGCTCCTTAATGATCTCTTAGACATAATATGTTTTAAACAGCTGACATCATTTATAGTATATGTGGTGATGCCATAGAAATTATAAGCTACATACAGACATAATGTTTAATTATAAGGTTTGTGGGCTAGCATGCTGAGAGCCATCAGTGGATTACAAAATAAACTGTAATAAAATTTGGGGAAATATTAAAATGAATAAAAGGAAGAACATCCTCATCATAAACAATTAAGTAAGAATCTATGGTAGGGTTTATATACAGGTATGGTTGAATTTGCACACAGTAACTGAAAAAAATCCAAAAGCAGAAGAAAATTCTAACATCTGAATATTCTTCCTGTTATTTCCAGTAAATTGTATTTCTCTAAGCTCAGTTCCGCTAATTATCCAAGGGGATATGTCTACTCCCTTTGGTTTCAGGGTAGTTTCAACTGTTCAAATCCTTGGTTGCCTGACAACCTTCATGGTATCTATCTTATGAACCAGATGTTTTGATTGAGAGGATGACGGAGTGAGAAAGTATCACATGTGCCAGGAGTGTGCATTCTGGCTCTGATACAATCATAGCTTGCTGTGCCATGCACCTCCAAGTCTCCAGGGAGGCCAGAACAAAAGACAGGAAGCAGCATTAACAGCAAGGGATGCAGGCAGGGGTGGCTCCTAAAGTCACTGGCATTGGTCCTTCCCCCACTCCCACCCCAAAACAGTTTATAAGCATGTTCTAGAAGTCAAAGGACAAACAGAGATTCTGGATCCTGCATAAACAGTGTCCAGTTCATCCATCTCCACAAGAGAAAACCAATGTGTATTCACAGACTCCAAACAAACTGTACTTGTCCTGTAACTCCTTCAACACCTCTTGTTAGAAGCTTAGAAGCATGCCAGGGCTCTTCCTTTTGTGTAGAAGCCTTGAGTTAAGCAGTTTTGTATCTCAATTAACTCTAATTCTATAACCCCTAGCCCTGACCCTATTAAGGATAGCTCCATACATCGATTATGTAGGAATCAGCAGGGTTGAAACATTTATTTCTTTACATTTCCAAGCTAAAGAATCACTTACATGGTTATTCTCATAAAAGTCTATACTGAGAGGACATACATGTTTTTAAGACCAAGTTACTAATTGTCAGTGAGCAAACTATAGCACACATACTCATGTTCAGAAATTCTCTTTTAATATAGTCTAGACCTTTATTTGTGTGCAATGCATTGAAAATAAATTGGACCAAATTACCTATTGTTATTAGAATTTGAAAAAAGATACCCATGACTTATTTATGCTGATGAAATGCAACCAGTGAAAACCTACACGATAACTTAAAATACTCAGGTCATGCCATTCTTTTTTATTGAAAGAAAATACACCCATGTATAATTTCTTTCCCTCTGAGAATACTATTTACACTATCAGTAGAAAAGCTATAAAACAGAGTAAAGATAATAACTATTCACAAATTATAAGCTGAGCTTTTAATGTGAGAAAACTGAACAGTTTCAAAGTACCTATTTCACATCTGAGAGGAAATAAAAAAGTTTTCTGATGCATTTCTAGTTTTCATCATCCATTTTCCTAGCATGAAAGTCATTTGCATGAACACATAGAGTAGGCTACCCTGAATTCACTTTGCTCTGCTGTAACTACTTGGCTGATAAGGCAAATAAATGCTCTCACTTTATATTTCTGACACCCAGCAATTCTCTTGAACCATGTTCCTTTCTCCCCTCTAGACTGTGTCAGTGTCTGTGTCTGTTCTTACATTGAGCTGCATTGCCTTGGACCGATGGTATGCAATTTGTCACCCTTTGATGTTCAAGAGCACAGCCAAACGGGCTCGAAACAGTATCGTCATCATCTGGATTGTCTCCTGCATTATAATGATTCCTCAAGCCATTGTCATGGAGTGTAGCAGCATGCTCCCTGGCTTAGCCAATAAAACCACCCTCTTTACAGTATGTGATGAGCATTGGGGCGGTAAGTAGTTTTCGTTCATACACTCACATAGGCAGGGTATCTGCAAATATTGGACTAGCATCACTATTGGGTTTATATATTTTATTAGTATTTGTTAAAAGAGTTCAGCAAAAGAATGAAAATAAACTTGAAGTGCAACATAACTTCATAATTAGCTCACATCTTTTGGAAGGGCTTCTTGTACAATTCTTAATTTTCATAATTTTTACAGTGAAAATGAGTAGAGGACTTTATTCAGATAATGCCTCATTTTTACTTATTGCTTAATGTTTTTAAAAACAAATGAACTAGTGGATGAAACAAACCAAATTCTACATTAACAGTTTATGAAAATCAATATAAAGATTTTCTCAAAAAATAAAATATTGAGATTATATATGATCCAGTTATCCCATTCCTGGGCATAGTCCTAAAGGACTCTGGATCTTATTCAGAGATACCTGTGCGTTGATGGTCAATGCTACTCTATTCATAATATTTAAGAAAGGCATCAGCATAGATGCCTATGAAAATATGGTACACATAGAGTGGGCTACCCTGCATTCACTTTACTCCACTGTAACTACTTGGCTGATAAGGCAAATAAATGCTCTCATGTTGTATTTCTGATACCCAGCAATTCTCTTGAACCTAGGTCAGGGCTAGGGTTTATGGAATTATTAGAGTAAAATGAGATGCAAAACTGCTCAACTCAAGGCTTCCACACAAAAGGAAGAGCCCTGGCACGCCTCTGAATATGGAACATTCACGATTGAATTTTATCCAGTCTTAAAGAAAAATAAAATATTCAGGAAAAATGGATGGAGCTGGAAAATATTACACAAAGTAAACCAAGGCCTAAAAAGACAAATGTTACAAGTGTTCTCTCATGTGTGTGTGGTGATATATTGTTTATGATTTAATAAAACTTGCCTGTGGAACAGAATGAAAAGCCAGCCTCTCTAGTTATCCTAGAAACTAGGCAGTGATGGCACACACCTTTAATCCCAGGACTCAAGAGACACAGGCAGATGGATCGCTGTGAGTACAAGGCCACCCAGGGCTACATGAGACTGAATCAGTCTAAAATAGAAACAGAGCTCAGGCCTTTAATCCAGCACTAGAGAGGTATATAAGGAAGAAGCAAAGAGTCTCCTGTGAAATTTAGTTTCCAATCACAGGGAAGACAGGATCTCCATTTCAGCCTTGGAAGAGGTAAGAGCTACTGGCTGGCTGCTTTGCTTTTCTGATCTTCAGCTTGAACTCCAGTATCTGGGTTTTTATTATTCATGCTACATGTGTGTGCTTTAGCATCTAATTTTTTTAAATGTGAATTTGTATGCAAATGAAGGAAGGTTGATAACAGGAAACTAGAAAGGAGCCTATGAGAGGGGAAGAAAAAGATATTTTAAGAGAGAGGGGCAGATAAAAAAAGAGGGGGCCAGGAAGAGCAATAGAACACATGTAACTTTAAAAGTGGAATGGTTCCTACTGGAAATGGGAAAAGAATAGCCTAGAAAACAAGGGTAGGGAGTGGGGGAGTGGAAAGTGGGGAGATTGTCAACCCTAAAACCCAAACTAGGCATGCATAAAAATACCATAAGGAAATCTGCTAATTTGCATGCTAAGACTTTGAAGAAAAATATTTCAATGTAGCTTTAGAAATTAAGTAAGTTTGCTTAAAATGTTAAGAAAACACCAATAAATTCTTATTTTCTTGTTTAAAATAAAAGAATATTTATGAGCTGGTTCAATGTCACATTGATTGTCAGAAGTTCCCAGTTTCCTAATTGCCTCCAATGCAACTAGGTTTGTATTTGTCTGTTGTTTCCAGTTTAAAACTATGTTCTGAAAATATCACCTTACCTCAGAGATGCTCAGTCACTGAGTGAGGCATTATGTCAGATAGAAATAACATCTGGATGTTATACATCTGTACACAACTGCACCCATGATAGTAATATATAAACAAGCAGAATTTTGGAGGCCTTCTGATTCTTTGCCTCAAAACTTTTAACAGAGGGACAAAGCTATCCACACATAGCAGATGTGGATAAGAACAGAGAAAAGGATAATAAAAATTCACTATACTCCGCCTTTGGGGATCCCCCATGGAGCGCCTTCCCCTCTCTAGGGAGCAGGGGGTAGACTGGGTAGGGGCTGGTGGGGTGTGGAGGGGGAGGGGAGGGAGAGGGAGAGGGGATTGACATGTAAAGCAGGCTTGTTCCTAATTTGAACTAATAAAAATTGTTATAGAAAAAAATCAGTATGGCACATACTAGTTATACATGAAACTTGAAAGGATCAAACTGGCCTCTTCTAGATAGTTTCACTACAGTTGTGCATACTTGTAGAATTTACACATCAGGAAAGAACGATTGCTAAATAGACACGCAGTCATACTTATTAGAAAGATGAATCAAGCCAGGTGACCCGGAAAGCTCAGGTAGATAGATCCTGAATCCTAAACCAGACAGGGCTACACAGTGATGCTCAGTCTTAGAAAGAAAAAATCAAAGTAACCAAAGCAAGTCAAAATACAACTGTAGTAAGCAAAATTTTACAATTTGAAATTCCTGCTACTCTAAGATATTAAATATCTTTTCAATGAGTTTTACTCTTCTTCTCTGACATTGTTATGTTTTCTGCATTTGTTATCTCTCATATTTTTAAATAAATATTCATTTAATAATACAGTCAAAACCAAACTAAATGGAAAGTTCCTACATACTTTCTTTAAGTATCCTATGTTCCATTTATTTAATGTTCAAACAACATCTAGAGTGTGCTAGGCATTGTGTGCCTAAGAGAGCGCATTCCCCAGTGAGGATGAGAGAAACCACAGTGTGATTAATGGACTTATGTACCGAGTCCTAGGAACACAAATGAGAGAACAGCTTCAGTCCTGGCCATGTGGGCAAATGTTTACAAAGAAGAAGCTAATATTTCAGCAAAGCATTAAAGATGAATATGAGTTCTGCCAACTAGGAGCAGGGAAGGGATATCCCAGTGAAGGAAAAGATGTGTTATAGAAAGTAAGAAGATCCACTCACTGGGCCCATATCTAAAGGAAGAAAAGGAGAAGGCATAGCCTCTGGGATATAGGAAGACTGAAGAAATGATTTTAGAAAGCTGAAGTCTCTTACATGATTTATTTATAGTAAATTATAGCTGGAAAGCATCCTGTATCCTGTAACCTGGTCATTCTTCTGAATCCATGACTAAATTGAGCCCTACAGAGATTACACTATCTACTCAAGATTATAAACCAGTGTGTAGATATCAAATGCAAGAGTCCTACTGAAATGTGGAGTCATTTGTGATTATGGAAAGGGTCATTATAGAACATACTTAGTACTCAGTAAATGCCAGGGAAGATTTCCTAAGGTATTTTGTAAAGGAGTTTCATTGATATGTTCATGGAGTATAATATAAATGATTGTTCCACACACACAATCAAGCATCACTAACTCCATTAATGAAAAGTTTATCAAACCATGGAATCTTATCAATATATCAATAAATGTAATTAAGTACCATGTTGTGTTTTATAACATCTTTAATCAATAAATGTAAATACACAAAATTTATATCTATTTCTACCATTTTATTATCTAGCTTTTATACAGATATTCAAAAGTCATGATAAAACTATTTGAAAGTAGTTTGATAATAGCCCACAATTACTCAAAAATGCTTCTAAGGGCTAAAGTTAATTGATACTGAATTTAAATGATCATCTATAAAATAATCAAGCAATAAGAACTAATAATTTGTCTTCAGCTATTCAGTTATAAATTACCAGTAATTTACTGCTTTTAAGGAAAATGTAAAATAATTTAAAATAATTTGTGATCCTTTAACTCATTAATGAGTTCATTGAGACTTCTTCATGGAGACTTTAAAATTCCATGCCCAAATTGAAGGGTTAAAGGTCAGAAGAGGCATTATATAACTCTCTTGGTTTCCCTTCTATTGCTGTGATAAGCACAATGACAAAACCAACTTGAAGGAAAAGTTTATTGCGTCTTATAGGTTATAGTTGACCTTGGAGGGAGGATGGAGCAAGAGCTTAAGGCAGGAACCTGAAATCAGGAACTGAAGCATAGGCCATGAATGAATGCTGCCTACTGGCATGCTCCCCATGGCTTGTTCAGCCTGCTGGAGGATTCAAGAATATTTTAACACATGTAACTTAAATTTTCAGTAGGTTGAGTTTTCACTTATTTGTAAATCTAAGAATGAAAATCATATTTTAAGATTATTACATTATAACCTCTCCAGTAACATGCCCTTGCTAGCCTGTTGTATAATTTTGCATGATCAGCTTTTCTGCATAAGTGTTCATTATAATATTAACTTCCTAGCCAGTTATTAGTATTTTCACTTATTCAAAATTGCCAGAACTTACCTTCCTTCCATCTGTTCAAAACTCCAAATTGCTATGGCAGTAATGGTATCTGCTATGCTAGTGGGAAAAACATTGACAATTAAATTTACTTTCCTCTATCTGTTCAATTTAGTCTGATATAGCTATTACAGCTTCAGTGTACATGAGCTTCAAAGGAGTGTGTGTGTGTGTGTGTGTGTGTGTGTGTGTGTGTGTGTGTGTGTGTGTGTAATATATGTGGAATAGAATACTTTCTTTAAAACAAATGGAAGTTCAAAGCCACTCAGGTATCTGAGAATTGCTGAGGTCACCTTCAAGTTGTTTTAAAATTGGCTCAGCAAATGCTGTTCAGGCTGCTGTACTTCAAATGGAATGCTATCTGCTATTCCTACAGTACTTGAATTCTATTGCTCTTTATTTAATGGTCTGTTTTACAAGATAAACTTGATAGGAAATTAGAAATGAATGGAGCAGATGAGTGCCTCCTGACCCAGGAAGAGTCTAAAAATGACACCTCAAATTGGTCTCTTATACCTCTAAGCAGCCTATGTACCATGCTGTTCCTTCTAAAATACCAAAAACACAGTAACAAAAAATAGAGAGAAACAAGATAATTTTAGAATAAAGAATACAAAAAATATTGGACTCAAACTCAATTAGTTCCAGATAAGAAGTTACGAGTTTAAGATAACAGAGGCCATTAAAATTATGAATATGTTTAAAATATAACCAGTAATATAACTAAATGCAAGATTGCTAAGTAAATGACAATTATCATGGCCATTAATGTACTTATTATTATACATCCTAAATACAAATTGCTCTTATGATCAATTTAATTAAATATCCAAGGCTCCATCCTTTATATCCTTCCTTAATCAAATGCAGAGGTGATAATTCCACAGCTAGCTTAGTCAGTCACTGTTCTATTGCTGTGAAGAGACACCATGACCAAGGCAACTTTTATAAAAGGAAAATTTCACTGGGGGCTTTCCTACAGTTTCAGAGATTTAGTTAATTATCATCATATTGGGAAGCATGGTCACATGCAGGCAGACATGGTGCTGGACAAGTAACTGAGAGATATGTCCTGATTTTCAACACAGAAAGAGCCTGAGTCCTGGCATGGGCTTTTGAAACTTCAAAGCCCACTCTCCCAGTGATACATTTTCTCCAACAAGGCCATACTTCCTTATCCTTCAAATCTGTTCAAATATTGCCATTTACATTCTAATAAGAATAACTAATTGAATTTAAATTTAGCACTTTATTTTAAACAAGAATTTAGTCATTATTTTTTAATAAAAACAACACAATTTTACCAGGTCTCTTTTAGTAAATTAATATATAAGACAATCTATAATAGTATTTTTAATGAGCAAAATGCAGGCATGCCAAATAAAGAGCCATTTGAGACATAAATTTCCTGATCATGGTTAAACTGTAATCCCACCCAATTTAGAAATGACTAGTTGTTATTCTCTGAGTATATTCAGTGAAACATTGGAAATTATCTTCCTATGTATGCATAAAATATACAAGTGAAGTCATAAGGAAGTCAACTCATAAGGAGTCAACTCATACTTTGAAAGAAAAAGCTGAAGTAACCCCTCTTATAAATCCTTCATTTTAATGTCAGATTTTATGGTTTGACTCTCATCTCAGGTGACGTTTACCCAAAGATGTACCACATCTGCTTCTTTCTGGTGACATACATGGCCCCTCTGTGTCTTATGATATTGGCTTACCTGCAAATATTCCGTAAACTCTGGTGCCGACAGGTATGTAATATCAAATAAATTGTTTGTATCTTCTTTAGGATGTACATAAAAAATTTAAAATTTCATTGAACTAATGTAACACATTCAACATAAGATTGTTTGTTCTAAAGTACTGAGACTCTAGATATGAAAATATCCCTTGATTGTTTCACTGGTATTTAGCAAATGTCTGAAATTCTGCCTTAATAAGTCTACACTTCTGATAAAAATCTCAACCTCAATAATTAACTGAGTTTTTTTTTAATCTGGGAGCAATATTTTAAATTTTTTGTTAAAGATTTACTTACTGTTATTTTATTTATGCAGTGTTTTGCCTGCATGTATGTCAACACACTACATGTACACAGTGCTCTCAGAGAACAGAAGAGGGCACCAAATGCCCTGGAATGAGTTATAGATGATTAAGAGCTTCCATGTGGATGCTGGAAACCTAACTCGGGTCCTCTAGAAGAGCAACAAGTGTTTTTAACTGCTTAGCCAGTTATTTTCATCATAAATAACAATTTAATTCCAATCCCTAAAGAGTATAAATATAAATGGTGGTACTTTAAGTGAAATGTTTGTAACACACTTAACGTATGTGTTATATCTTTACCTTCAATGATCTCATTTACAGTAGATTTAAAGAGTGATATAACTCAGGGTTGTTTTCCTCTGCTCCCCCAACACTCATCCTACTTTCCCCTCTGTGCCCAGTATAAGTAAGAATTGTTTGAAGAAGTTATAATTCTGAATTAGAGTTACTGTGACTTACTAGAAAATGATACCATCCATGAGATTTCGTCCATTCTCTCAGTGAATAATTTGTCCTGTGTTAATATCGTCTGCCTTCTAGCCTTAAACTAAACAACCAGTTTATGTGACCAGTAAATTCAGTCTTTAGAGGGGATATGGTGCATAGTGGAAATGACCTTTTTAATACAAGCCCAAATTACCAGGGCTTGGCGAAGTAGGGGGCTCTCTAAGACTAGGCTGGTAACATTTAAGCTAAATCTCTGACTTGAAAGAATTCAGCAAATGTGTGGATAATTGTAAATATGCAGAGTGGCTATCACTCAACTTCTTATGTTTAGTAAGTTATATGACATGATAAAGACATATTCTAACCTGGCAGTAGTGGTGAATGCCTTTCATCCCAGCAGGAGAATCTCTGTGAGTTCCAGGCCAGCCTGGTCTACAGTGTGAGATCCAGTACAGCCAGGGCTGTTACACAGAGAAACCCTGTCTTGAAAAGAAAAGAAAAAAAAATGATAAAGCCTTATTCTTTCTTTTTTATTTAAATTAGAAACAAGCTTCTTTTACATGTCAATCTCAGTTCCCATCCCTCCTCCCCTGGCTCCACTGACCCCCTATTCCAACCCTTTTCTGCTCCCCAGGGAGGGTGAGGTCTTCCTTGGGAGATCTTCAAAGTCTGTTGTATCATTTGGAGCAGCTCCTCTACCCTCCCCAGTGTGTCTAGGCTGAGAGAGTATCCCTCTATGAAGACAGGGCTCCCAACTGTCTCATGTGTGCTCTGGAGAGCAACTAGTGTGTTTTCAGCCACGGAGTCACATCTCCAGCGTCATTTCTGTCACGTTTAAAACAGGGTTGCACAGCTCATAAATTCATACACATTAGGTGGAATAAATACTTAAATCATTGGGAAAAGTACCCAAATCATCACAAAAAGTAACTCAGTACCTCAACAGTCTATGATGTTAGCTGGACTTTCAACTATGTCTGATTACATTTCTAAAATTGCATGTGTTGAATTGTTGTTGTCTGTGACCTTTGTCATTTGTCTTCATTTTGTTGTGTGTTTGTTTTTTTCATGCTAGAGGATCAAACTCCCATGTTTTGAGTGACATCTTTGCCACTGAGTGACATATCTTCTGATTGCTTAACATAGCTAAAACTGAACTTAGTTCACGGGACTTTAGAACAGCCTTGTAATGATTCTTCTGTTTCCTAGGCTGTTAACTGATGATAGTTCATAGTAGCCTCAATCCTTTTATTCTTCTAATCAGCACATGTGCAGATGAATGCAATAGAAAAAAATAGTGAGAATTTTAAAAAGTAAGGACCTATAGTAATCAGAGGAATGTTTTTAGAAAAAGTTAGAATATGACAGTTTCTCAAGGAAGAAAAAATATTAATGTACAATACAGCTATGCAGATGTTATATAGACTGAGATTCTGAGGAGCATATCAGATATCAAGATCATCTCCCATTATGTAGTTCTACATATGCTTGCCTATACACTTGCATAAAAATTAGTGTACCTTTAAAACTCGTTAAGAGTAATACACAATTTGTCTTGTTACCATTGTGTCTACAACTGTTACTTGTTGCCTTGCACAAAGAAGGGACTTGAAAAATGTCTTCTAATGTGTAAATGACTCTTGAAACATAAACAATATGCTTATTTATTATTTAAGCTTATATTTCTCAATTTCCAAAACTTTAAAATAAATTCAAATTGTATTACAGGCTTAGAACTAACCTACATTTTTCGATGAAATGTCCCACTTAGTGCAATCCACATGATTTAAAAGATTTGCAGTAAAATGCCTGAGCTGTGAAACTAAAACATTTAAAAAGCAGATTGGAATGGAAATTGGCAAGTTGAGCTGAGCCCACTTTACAGCTGCAATAAAGTAAATTGACCCCAGATGGATAATTAAATAGAACTCAGCTTGAGCAACTCTTGGCTTCTAACTGTTACTGCATCTAAACAGAGTTATCAGGCATGGCATTTGCTATAGGCCACACCAAGAGAGCCATCAAGTGAAGGGTCTATCCTATTTGCTTAAAATTACAAAGATGCATGGATACTGATTTGTACTTTTGAATTAGCAAGTGTAAAATTATTAGTGAGCAAATTCTGTGCCCTTTTCCGACTTTGGTAAGTGCTTCAGTTTTCATTAAAATAAGTAGCTATTGTCTTGCTCAAATCGGTAACTTCTACTTTCCTCTCCTGTAACAATATGATTCAAAGAATTCACTGGCAATGAAACCACAGATTGGTCTCTCAAGATCCTCACATTCAGAAACTTCGTAAGCTTGACTTGCTTGGCTTCTTATGCATACTTCAGTGCTTAGTACAGTTCTTAGCCTTCTCAGAATTAGTAACAGATCATAGTTCTTATATAAACTTCTGTTAATGCATTCCACAGATATTACTAAGTACTTGCATGTCTATGCTAAGTAAGGTAGTAGAGACGAATAATAGTATACTCTTAAGTCAGATGGGATTTTAACTTTCCAAAGACTGAAAGACCTTCCATTTCATGATTGTGTCCATGATCCGATCTACCTTTTATTCACCCACATTTTTAGAGAAGTTAGAATTCATACAGTGATACTGAGTAAGACTAATCAGTCTAGTGTGAGAAAATGGACAGAAAGTCATAGAAGATGAGGAGATGCAGGAAGACAACGCTCAAACTCAACAATGAAATAAAAAAGCAAAAGTAAATGTAACTTCTTAGGTATATTTAAAAATTGCTATAAAGGTATTTTATTTGGAATTTGTTTGTTTATATCCAGACTGAAATACAATTGTGAAAACAACAAAACTGTAAATTCATCTTATAAAATGCATAAGCACATAACTTATAGGAAAGATGAAGGGAGTGCACAGTGATATTGAAAAATATACATTTATGTGTATTAAAATTTGATTAGTATTAATCAGTGTCTAAATTAAGCTGTTTATTGTAACCACTAGAAAAATTCTTTTTTCAAAAAACACCTAGTGAAAGACAATAAAATTTAAATGTTACAGTAGAAAGTAATAAAAAAAATCACTAATGGAGAAATAAAGGAACACAATAGATAAAACATACCTACACAAAAAAATACCAAAATTACAAATGTTGATCAATGTAAATTAGAAAATCTGAACAGACCTACATTAGGAGATGATTAATCAAGATTCTACAAGCACTAAACGTGAAAAGCCACATATGAAAAAGAAGATGAGATTTTTGTCTTTCTGAAACTGAGTTACCTCACTTAATACTTGCCATACCATCTGTGTTCCCATAAATTTCATAGTTACTTTTTTCTTAACAGCCGAGTAAGTTTCAATTCTCTATGTGTGTCACATTTTCATTTGGTTGTTGATGATGATGATGGACAGCTAGGTTGGTTCCATGTCCCTTATTATTGTGAATAATGCAACAACAAATGCAGACATGCAGTTATCTATTTCTACTTTAGAAGATGGAATTCTTTGCTATCTTTGGGTCATATGGCAGTTAGAATTGGGCAACTTAAGAAACCTTGATACTGATTTCCACATTGGTTACACTAGTTTACACTCTCACCAGCAGTGGATAAGGGCACTTCTTTCCCTACAGCCTCACCAACATTTATTGTCATTTGTTTTCCTGATGGTAGTTGTTCTAGCTTGGCTTTTTGTCAACACAGATAGAGTCATTTTGGAAGAAGGAACCTCAACTGAGAAAATTTCCCCACCAGATTGGCATGTCAGTGTTAGCAAAGCTGTGGTGCGTTTTCTTGATTGATAACTAGTGTGAGAGGGCCCTGTTTGCCATGGATGGTGCCACTTCACTGGTGGTCCTAGGTGCTGTAAGAAAGCAAGCTGAGCATTCTACGTGGACCAAGCCAATCAGCCCTACCCCAGAACCTCTAATTCAGTTATTGCTCATGCACCTGCCTTGAGTTCTTGACCTAACTTCTCTTCATGATGGACTGTGATCCCATGGGGACTTACCTCACCAAGTTGTTTTGGATCATAGTGTTTCATCACAGCAATAGAAGACTAAGACAGTAATAATTCTAATGGGGTGAGATGTAGTTTCAAAATGGCTTTAATTTATATTTCTCTGATAGCTGAGAATGTTAAACAGTTTTGAAAACATTTATGGGCCATTTGTGTTTCTTCCTTTGAGAACTAGCTGCTTGATTCATTAGCCTATTTATCAACTGGCACTTCTATGGTTTGGGAATTTAAATTTTATAGTGCATTATTTATTCTATATATCAAGCTCCCTATGTGAGGTTTAGCTGGCAAAGACTTTCATCGTAATCTGTGGGATACCCATTTGTTCTGCTAGTGATTTTCCTTGCTGTGTAGAAACTTTTAAATTTCATAAAGTCTACTTCTTGATTCTTGGACTCTGCCCTGTGGTATTAGAATTCTATTCGGAAAGCTCTTATCTATACCATTGGCAATACCCCAAACAAGTGTATTCCCTACGTTTTACTCTAGAAGTTTCAGATGTAAATTAAAGTCTTCATGTGGGGAAGATAACTCAGCTGGCAAAAAGCATGACATAGTCTTGCAGAAGACCTGCGTTCAGGTCCCAGCACCTATGTTAGGCAGCTCACAACTATCTGTAGTTCCAATTCCAGAGACTTCCAACACTTTCGGCCTCTGTGGGCATGTGCACTCACACACATATATCCACACAGACACACTCATATAGTTAAAACAAAATTTATATCTGAAATTAATGTTCTTGAACATTTTTCATTGATTTTTTAGAAGGCTAATGATGTGGATCTAAGTTCATTCTTCTGCATGTTATATATTCAATTGTATCAATGCCATTTCTTGAATGGGCTGTCCTTTCCCAATGAATGTTCTTGATACCCTTTTCAAATTTACATACCCATTACTGTGTATTTACTTCTTGGTTCTTTATCCTATTTATTTCCCATTTATGTGCCAGTACCATGGTGTCTTTTTTCAGTATGGTTTTATAGTATAATCTGAGGTCAGGCCCTAATGATACCTCCAGCAGTGTTCTTTCTATTTAGGGTTGTTTTGTCTATCCATGATCAGTTGTGTTTACACGTGATTATGACTTTTTGGATTATCTTCTAGTTTTCTGAGGAGTATCATTGGAATTTTGATGGGGATTGTAGTGAATATGCAGATTACTTTTATTCCTATGGTCATTTTCATAAAATTAACTCTGCCAATCCAAAAAAATGAAAGACCCCTCTCCTATCTGACAGCTTGTTTAATTTTTTTAGTATCCATCATTTACATGGTGTTTTGAACTAATAATTATTGTTCACATTTCTTTTACAGTTCATTTTCCTATATCAAAGATGGTTTATACAGTTCATTTACAGTGATGAACATGTCATGCTTGTGGTCTACTTTCCACAGTTAGAAACTACGGAGCCCTCAGTGACATATTGGTGAAAGACCTTCCATAGGGACAAACCCTTGGAATTTATCCTTTCTGATCCTTTTGTATCACAATTGATACTTTCATGTAATAAAGCATGCATTCAAAATTCAAGATTCAATAGTTTAGTCCGCAAATTGCTTGTCTTGCAAGCAGGAGGACAATACTTTAATCCCCAAAAGTCATGCAAACAATCTGGATATCATAGCACATACTAGTAATCCCAGTGTTTGAGAGGAAGAGCCAGGAAGATCCCTAAGGTTAACTAACCAGACAATCTGGCCTGCTTGGCAAGTTCTAGGCCAATGAGAGACCCTGACTAAAGAATAAAATGGATATCAACTAAGGAATTCCAGCCTACATTGTCTTCTGACCTGTAGTACATATATGTAACATGCACATATATGTAAACAAAGCTGGGCACACACATGCATGTGAACACACATGAACACATGCATGCATATAAACATACACACAAAACTGCTTACTCTCTTGTATGTAAATTTTCCAAAGGATTTTTTTACAAATAAAAAATGATGTGTTTTGAAGTTCTGTACAAATTAAATATATGATCTGAAATAGTCTACTTAGTATCTTCTTGGTCAAAATCTATAAAATGAAAATTATAATTTACCTTTAAGGACACATTGAGCATAACTTAAGGTTATGTGCAATTCTTGAGTGTCAGCTGATGTAGTGACTCCCAATGACTTTTTTCCTGCTGTCTTCTGGGGCTTCTCAGGTTCTCTGTACAGTTTGTAAGTGGAGAATGATTTGAAGGATTAAGCATTTTCTGCCTTCAGGCCCCTATCTGAAAGTGGCATTGCCACATTTCTCTTTCTTTTCCCTGCATGGGCCACAACTCTGCCGCCTGTGGCAGTTATTCTTCAAGGGAATGTTTTTGATACTTGAAAATGTCGCCAGGCAGAAGGGCAGAATATCTGCTCTCTCCTTCATTGGAGCATTCAAAAATAGAATAATCTATATGGTTTGATTTAGAAACCACTTCAGGACCACTTCACAGGTACTTAGCAGCTTCTGTGATAGAATTCTTCTAGAACTTTTTAAGTCCATTGCTACTTCTATGAAAGTTGTTTCTAAAACTACTTTTGAAAGAGAGATCCACAGGACTGGAGAGATGCTCAGCAGTTAAGAGCACTAGCTACTCTTGCAGAAGACCTGGGCTCAATTCCCAGCACCCATGTGACAGCTCACAACTATCCACTTAATTCCAGGGATTCCAATACCTTTTTCTGGCCTATGCAAGCACCAGGCATACATGTGATGCACAGATATGCAAGAGAGAAAGACACTCGTATACATAAAATAAAACTTAAATAACCTTTTTAAAGTTTTAAAAAAGAGAATCACAGAAGAGGGAGAATATTTAGCCCTTTATCTCCCAGAGGTTTGGTGAAGGGGCCCTGCCCAATTGTGAGGCGTTTCTGTTGCATGGAAGGTTTTCCTTTGCATCGTTGATCTCTTTAACTAAGTATATGGTCAAGTTTGGTCTCATGTAATGAGATTCATCTGTTTGGACATCAAAGCAAAACTGCATTGTCAAATGAAAAGATTCTCTAACTGACTTTGATCTTGTAGTGTAAACAGCCACGGGTTCCATGCAACCTTCATTCTGAGGGGCCACGGGAACACACTGCTCTGTACAGTATGTAGGGCAGAGATAAAAGTAACAGCTGACTAATTGTAGCAGAATCAAGCTGTCCCGGTGGGGTACTTATTGGCACATCTTATCAAAAAAGGAAAAGGCGCATGCTGGATTTCAGTGTTTTGCTAAGGTCTATCAATTTTCATGAGATTATAATTAAGAAAGTATTGTACTTGGCAGAACTTTATGCTATTATCAACTAACTGAAAATCGAAGAAGAAGCCTATTGTATAACGTAATTACTGCAAATTGTGGCTTTTTGGAATATTAGTGTAAGACCTGGAGGAATTCTCAGTGTATGTGTGTGCTTTCTGAAAGGACAAATTGCAAATTCAGTTTCAGACAATTTTGTAAATGTGAACAGTAAATCACGGAGAATAGTTTGTTTTTGTTCCCTCTATACACAGATTTATTTTGTCAGAATCGGAGGCATAAAACCTCGTTTTCAAAGATGTAATAGATGGTTAGGTGCTATATCTCCCTATGACAGCAGATGGCAGTATCGATGCATCAAAAATTCAGTCAAGTTTTTTGGGGTTGGAATTGTGTGTGTGTGTGTGTGTGTGTGTGTGTGTGTGTGTGTGTGTGTGTGTCTCTGTGTGTGTGGCTGTATCTGTATCTGTGTGTGTCTGTGTGTCTGTGTGTTACCGTCCTGTAAATTGATGCGTGTTTAAATTTAGGTGACTCCCGAATCTAGAATATGTAATGAAAATTTATAGTCGGGATTTTCTCAGCATTTGTCTCTCCATATTTTACTTCTGTTTTTGATAAGGGCATGCATTCTCTGTTGTTCTCTTTAGACCTTGACAAAGTTGGTATGCTTTAACACAACAACAAAAGCTTGTTTTTAACTTTTTCCCACGCAAACATCTATTTGTCATTTGACTAGGCCAGTGTTCTGAGCGATGGGAATTCTACACTCCAAACTTCTGTTTCTTAGTCTTTACTTCTATGTGGAATTTTGCTAAGTACCAATGAGGGATGCCCTCCTTTTTCAGATTCCAGGAACTTCTTCTGTGGTTCAGAGAAAATGGAAGCAACCGCAGATGGTTTCTCAGCCCAGAGGGTCTGGACAGCAGAGCAAGGCTCGGATTAGCGCTGTGGCTGCTGAGATAAAGCAGATCCGAGCCAGAAGGAAAACAGCGCGGATGCTCATGGTTGTACTTCTGGTCTTTGCAATTTGCTATCTACCAATCAGCATCCTCAATGTCCTAAAGAGGTAAAGCCCGTGTATTTATTCAAAAATGAAGCAGCTTGACATTTAATTAAGAACTCTCTTCTTTCTAAACAGACAAAACCCTCTCCTAGATACTTTATCTGGCTGGCCAACTCAAGTGATGTAGTTGTCAAAGCACTTAAGGCAACATTAGCCTTCTAGCATGCTCAGAAAGTACTCTTGCTCGGTCAGTGAAGAGTCTCACTTGAATGGCAGATGAAAACAGTTGCTTTCCTAACCTCTTAGGGTTGACTGCTAAGCCGTAGATGGAGAAAACATCCCAATAAAAATTTTGTTTCAGTAACTAATTCCATAAATAAAGTCAGCTACAGTTCTGAGTTCTTTTTCATTCGAATAAATGGGTTTTCCAACTTTGTTTTCAAATATATAAACAACCACATTGCAATCCTTTCTGTAAAAAAATTTTTTCAGGATAAAAAAAGAGATAAGAATACTTTGTTTGGGGCACTAATCAAGAAGAAGTGAAGCATATATTTTCTGTTGAACATTAAACGGAGAGAAGAATGTCCATTTCTTGAATTCATTGGAATTATTCCAGTATCGATGTTAATATCACATATGTATGTTATGTCAATATAATATGGTATAACATATTATGTTATATATGCTACATATTATTATATAACTATAACATATAACATATTTTTACAGTTGGCATTAATGCATAATTTGTTACACTTTAGACAAAACTATGAAATTAAAAAAAATTTGACGAGTGACATGAATAGCTAGCTTCATTGGGAAATATCAAACCTGTTGCACACAAACTGGTCCCCAGGCAACCTTAATTCTGTTTATAACAAACTTCAAACTTAATCTGGAATCTCTCCTGTCCCTTTTCCCAAAGTCTGAGTCAGTATCATACTCCTCACAGCAGAGAACTTTGGGAACAGGTAGAATCAGACAAAGGGTGGTGTAACTAGCTGCAAAGATTTCTTCTCTTAAGGCCATTGTTTTCTATTGTTTAAAGGTGTTTTCAATCAAGAAGTGGAAAATTAACTTTTGTTCAGAAACATTACAGCCTTTCGTGCCTGTATAAGGTTTTGAAAGCTCCTGTTCTTGAGATATGTGTCCTCTCACAAGACATAATTTACCCTCTGCTTCCTGTAATTCCTTACAGAAATCAAATACAAAAGCATTAAGCACTTTGGTGGTTTCTGTTTTCTGATATTAAAAACATCATGAACATGAATGATACTGAAGAGATTCCTCCTTCCTCTCTCCCTCTCCTCCTTCTCCGCCTTTTTCCTTCTCTCCCTCCTCTATTTACTAGTCTAAATCAAATATTTAAAAATGCATTTTAGCACTCTGTGGGGTGCACATTTAAATTTCTTCTATCTCTGCTCTTGTACCCCGCCTAATCATTTCCAGATGCCCTCTTGTCAATAATATTCATCTTCTTATTCTGAATTAAATACCATCCTTTCCTGGGGGGGGGGACCTTAAGTTTAATTTAAAACTTGTTGCAAGTTTTGAGCAATCTACCTGTCTGTATACTCACAAACATTTAACATAATTTTGAAAATTGTTTTTACTGCATACAGTCTTTAAAATATATGTAACATTTAAATTTAGCCTTACCTTGCATAATCTTGTTTTTATTTATTTTTCACACACTTTATAGTTTCACCTTCATTTTCTTGAAATACAATCATTAACCTGGTTGGTTAAAGTTAACTTCCTCAAAGTGGTCTCTAGTTCAGAGATTTTTTTGAACTAGCACTTATGTCTTATTGTATGTTTAATTTGTCCACATTCTTTGACTCTGTGTGTGTGTGTGTGTGTTTTGCAAACTTCTACTACTCTATTGAGTATCACAGAAATTTATATCTATCATGCACCTTTCTCTTTAGAAAGCTACAAATCACATAATCATTGATAGAGCCTCCAGCATGGAACATGTTGTTAGTGGGCATCCTTATTGGATTTATCAAAAGAGAGAGAGAGAGAGAGAGAGAGAGAGAGAGAGAGAGAGAGAGAGAGGGAGATTTCTAAGAATAGAGTGCAGTAGGCTTGTTTTGTTTTCTTTTTAGTGGTGTGTGTGTGTGTGTGTGTGTGTGTGTGTGTGTGTGTGTGTGTGTGTGTGTTGCTGCACACATGCCATAGAACAGGTTGGCGGTTAGAGGACAAGAAGAAAATTTATGTGCGCCAGTTCTTGCTTTCCATGTTTTAAAGCAGGCTTGCTCCTTGTTTCTGCAACTGTTCTGTATACTCCAGACAAGTTGGCCTGTGCGCTTCTAGGAGATTTTCCTGTCTCCACTTCCCATCTCACAACATGATTGCTGGGATTACAGACGTGCACCAGTATATCAGCATTTTTATGAGTATTCTGGGAATCTGAACTCAGGTCCTTAAGTCTTTACAGGAAATACTTTTACCCCCTACCTAATCTCCCCACACCAAAGAAAGCAACCTTAACATTGCTCAAAATTGGACTTTGATGCTACTATAATACATTTTTAGTTTAACATAATATATGAGAGCTTGAAACTCACATACCTAAGGACTATCAGAATTTTACCCAAGGAAAACCAGTTATTGCCTGTATACAGAGATATTCATGACGAATTTCAACAAGGCTAGGAGAATTAGAGTTGAGGAAAGATATTCATCAATGCATAAGTGAAAGTGGGAAGAATTTAGCAGTCCAAAATTGGACTGTTAATTGAAATATGTACAATGGTTTAGTAAGTAAGAGCAGACCAGGTTTCAATTCCCAACACCCACATGGCTGCTCATCACCATCTGTAGCTCCAGTTAAAGATGACCTAGCACCCTCTTTTTACCTCTTTTTACCTCTGTAAGTATCAGACATGCACACATGCAGGAACCACCCATACACATAAAATAAATTTTTAAAAATGGACGTGGCAGAATAGCAACAAGGTTAGTTGATCACATCTAGAAACAAGATGACAGAAGGAGAATTCAGCTTCTGTTTTCTTCACAAGAGTTCCCATTCCTGATTCCAGGCTTTTCCTCTGAGCTGATTCACTGAGTTTTTGATTCACTGAGGGGTACCCAAAACCATTCTTAAGAGGAGACTGGACTGTCAGTGCCTGTCAAAGAGTTCAGGGCTGGTTATCGTTGTGAAGTTTGTTCAGTTTTGACTTCAATTAATCATTTAATGATTACTCTCAATTTTCTGTTTCTGTTTCTCTTCCTACAGAGTATTTGGGATGTTCGCACACACCGAAGACAGAGAGACTGTCTATGCTTGGTTCACATTTTCTCATTGGCTTGTATATGCTAATAGTGCTGCAAACCCAATCATTTATAATTTTCTTAGTGGTAAGTTTTCAGGGTTTCTTTATTAAGCCTCTCCTCAAGGGTGGTGCAGTTCTGAAGTAGATGCAGAAGTTAGTTTCTCTTTGAGCTACGATAGCCCCAACTAGAGGGATAGAACTAGGGAAAAAAAATCCTTACTAAGGTAACCCAGAGCCAGAAAGACAAACATAATATGTATTCACTCATAAGTGGATACCCCAGAGAAGCTAGGTAAAAAGGGGAACCGTAAGAGGGAAACACATGGAGGGCCCCAGGAAGGGAAAATAGTTAAGATCTCCTGGGTAAACTGGGAAGGGAATTAAAAAGGAGGGGTTTGGGGATGGGAACAGGAGGGCTCGAGATAACCCAGTCGGGGGAGGAATGGAAAGGAGGAGCAAAGAAAGAGATATCTTGATAGAGAGAGACATTGAGAGGTTAGGGAGAAACCTGGTGCTATGGAAATTCCCAGGAATCCCCAAGGATGACCTTAGCTAAGACTCCTAGCAATAGGGGAGAGGTTGCCTGAACTGGCCTTTCCCCTATAATCAAATTAGTGACTACCCTAATTGTCATCTTAGAACTTACATCCAGTAATTGATAGAAGCAGATGCAGAGATCCACAGCCAAGCACTGGAGCTTAGCTGAAGAGAGGGAGGAGGGATCGTATGAGCAAGGGGGGCAGGTCAAGATCATGATTGGGAAAACCACAGAGACAGCTGACCTGAGCTAGTGGGAGCTTGTGGACTCTAGACTGACAGCTGGGGATCCTGCATGAAACCAAACTAAGCCCTCTGAATGTGGGTGACAGTTTTGTGGCTTGATCTGTTGAGGGGGCCCCTGGCAGTGGGACCAAGACTGGTCCTGGGTACATGAATGGGCTCTTTTGAGCCCATTCCAGTAGTGTGATACTTTGCTCAGCCTTGACACTGGGGAGGGACTTGGTATACCAGCCTTGTTGACTCCCCAAGGGAGGTCTTACCCCCTCAGAAGAGTGGGTGGGGGTGGAATGGGGGATGGAGAGGTAGGAGAAGGGGACTGAGCAATGGGAGATCGGCTAATATGTAAAATGAAAAACAATTTGTTTTACCAATAAATAAATAAAAAGAAAAGGAAGAAAGGAAGGAGGAGGAGGAAAAGGGAAGGAAGGAAGGAAGGAAAAAGGTGAATACATGTTATCTAGCCCTTCAGAGGACATGATCTGATCTGTTTTCTTGTGAGTGTGGGGCCATCCACTGCAGCTTGAGAACCTTCACATAACCATACCATAACTGTGTTGCTATTATCTACATTTTTTTACTATTTTGTTCCCAATTACTTGGCTATTTGTTTATTTCCATTTCTAGCCATGTAGTCATTTTTATATTCGAGAAAACTGTTGATTGTACATTTAATAAATAGTGTGTCTTCCATTTTCATATTGGCTTTTTGGCTTACATGATTTGTCTCAGTTAGATGGAAAGATAATAACAATTAGAAGGATCTATTATAGATCTCAAAAAGTTAAAAAAAATAAAGGATTTTAAGTGTTTGTGCCATGAATATGTAACAAATGCTTGCATCTATTTAATTCCATTTAAGCTTTGACAACTGCGTACATTTACTGAAATATCACCTGGCAATCCAGAAACATAGTTTTTATGATTTTGTGTATTAAAAAAGTTTAATTGGTAAAAGAAAAGAACAACCAATTTTATGTCTTAAAAGTTAAGTTGGTCACTTTTAAAATAAGCACTGCACAGGACTTAGGGCTCTTACCTAGTACTGAGCAGGTGAAACCTGTAAGGAAGTGTGTGGGGGGGAGGCAGGTGTTTGAAGCAGAATGCACAGACCAAGGCAGAGTCCTGGTGTGAGGTGAAACGAGAGGAGGCCATTGTCCTAGGTTCGTAAACAGCCACCACACTTGGTCCTACAGTAGCCTAGTGGGATAACTTAGACACAGAGAGAATAGTTTCCAGCATTGCCCACCAGTCTAACAAAGATGATCATTCTATCTTCTTAAAAGCCTAAGATCTCACTAATAAAGAGGACTTCCTAGGATTTCTCCAGTGGCTCTTTTTTCCTATTTTGTGACACATAGATTGTAAATGGGGGATTTTATTAACTACTTCAATGTCTTTTTCCTGTTTTGCAAAACTCCTTACATTACCAGCATCTTCATCATACAACACATCTCTACTTATTCACTTAAACACAATGTACATTTCATTGCTTTTGAAGCAATTAGGTGTCTGTGCAAACTTTTCCTAAGAGCCATTTAGTATGATAACAGGGTTAAAACCTACCGAGAAACACAGGGGTTTTGATTTTAAAGAAAGAAAACAAACGCCAAGTATTACATAGGAAAATACTTCAGCGTTTAATTTCCTTTCTCTATTTCCCTTATTGATGCAAAATGCTCCACCTCACTGTTCGTTTGGCTCAAGGAAATGACTGATTTGTACCCTGCACACTAGGTGTTGAGCTGTTTATGCATAATTCACTTTCCTTTCATTCTCTCTGGTCTGCCAGGAAAATTTCGAGAGGAATTTAAAGCTGCGTTTTCATGTTGTCTTGGGGTTCATCATCGCCAAGGAGATCGGCTCGCCAGGGGACGCACAAGCACAGAGAGCAGGAAGTCCCTGACCACTCAGATCAGCAACTTTGATAATGTATCAAAACTCTCAGAGCACGTGGTGCTCACCAGCCTAAGCACACTCCCAACAGCCAACGGGACAGGACCGCTACAAAACTGGTAGAACATTTATTGCTATGACGAGGATAACCGACTCAAACTATTCTTTTATACAAACTGTGAACGGAAGTTTTAGTATCCAGTTGATCTAAACCTAAAATTACTTGTCAATCCATTTTTTTTTGATCTATCACTCTTTGGAAATAAGTAAATTTGAAATACTTCTTGAACAGTTTCCTCGAACATGTTATATGTTTAAACTGTAGCTAAATTTATTTTAGGCTATTTCTTCTTAGTTCTGTGAATTGAAGTTTGTGGCAATTAAGGGTTTGAACATTTCTAATTCTTTTTATAACCCTTGGCATCTTAATCTCACAACTCAAAATGGTTGCTAAAATCACTAAAAATTAATCATTTTCTTTCCACTGATAAAGGAAATAACAATGACAACTCAGTTAACAACAGACATATGCTAATTAACAATATTTTTTTGAATTCACAAAAACTATCATTACAATGTGCTTACCTGGGAGACTATTTATGAATCAAATCACATATAATTGGTATATATTCTAAATCTATCTTTCCAAATCACATGAAATATATACTATTAAGCTTAATTTGCCACTAATTTTATTTTTCTTTTACTAAATGATCTCAGGTTTATAACCTTATAATATCTAAGTTTTTGTGCAATACAGAATCAAACTGACTGTATTAAAGTAAAATTTTGCAGCAACTACTAATACATAATCATTTTCATCTCTGGGGAGGATTTAACATTTAAATTAAGAGCTAAAAATCAGATTATTCTATTCTTCAAATTAGGGACAATGAGTTAGTAAGCCTTGCTGGAGCCAGAATGTGACAGTGTGGTAGGCCAGAGGAAGCGAGGGAAGGCCAGGGTTTGAGAAGGGCTGTAGTCCAGTTCTGGGATAAGGTTTAATAGCTTAGCCCTTCCCTAGTAGGTTCCGCTAGGCTACAGTTTAGTTGCCATCACTGAAAACAAACAACTACAAATAAATGAAACAAGGCTTATTGTCATCTAGTGAGGGAGAGAAGCTGAGGGGCATAGCAGACTAGTCACACAACTACCAAAGACAGTGGTCCCCACCACAACACTGGCAGTACTGTTACAACCCCCACCTCAGCCCCATTTAGATATAGTTTGCTCTCTGTGTTAGTAATTCTAACATGCCTGAGGCTTAGAGATGGGAAGTTAGGAAAATAGAAGGCTTGCTACTAACTCATGCACAAGTGGAAAGGATAGAATGTATTTTGTATTAACTGTAATTTGTGGGGTTGGAATAATTGATTATTCAAATTTGTTCTCTGAAAAATTCTTCTGATGCAAGTATCCACTTCTAAATTAAAAGTTTAAAATTATACTTACAAACTTGTTCTTCATCTCATAGTGAGCAGTAGGCACTCTGATTATATCAAAATGGATGTATTGAATATTTAAAAGGGATTTTGTTTGAAAACAATTATATTGTCATTTTGCCTTTTGCCCAACTCTTCATTCTCAGAGAAAATTAATACCACCAAATTATCCATACTTTCTTTTCCAAAGTTTAGGGTTTTGTTACCATGTGCCTTTTAGTACTCTAAGCCAGGACTACCCTCCTATATGAGGTGTATCACAATGAAATGGCTGAATATCGTGATGTTCTATATCTATGAACATGATCCTTACAATGTCTCCTTTTTCCCCTTTTAGAGCTTTGTCTGTCACATGAAAGGAGAGCTGTAATTTTCTGATTGTGATGGCAGTTAGCACTTTAAGATTTGAAGATAACTTCAAATCCTCTTGGTAATAAGCCTTAATAGCCTTGCAGCTCAATAAAGTTGATATAGTGGTCATATCCAATATAATTGAGCTTCATTAATTCTAAGTTGTTAGATAGTATTAGGTCCTTATGTGCCAGGTCTTGTTATATAAACAAGAGGAGAGGCCTTAAGAAGGGGGAGGGTGGAAAAGTGTGAGAAGAGACACGGGTTGGGGAGAGAGAGAAAGAGAGAGGGAGAGTGGAGAAAATGAGTTGTATTGGTATGGTCAATCCAAAGTCAGAATTTGTTTGTGCTACATTAATAATCCTAATGTGGTGTGGTCCCTGGACCATCAACATCTGCATTTTCAAGGAACTAAGAATAAACATGTGCTCCAAACTTACTGAACCGAATGCCTTGGGTTCGGTATCCAGGAATGTGTGTGATTACAATTCTACAGGTGATGATGCAGCTCTTTAACTGTGAGGGCCTCTTCTCTAAATGGTGTCTCCTGGCATCAACTTATTAGCCCATGTGAAATAAAGTCTTTTACTGCACAGGTATCTACAACAGGGAGTACCATCTTCACTGCTGTCGACCTGGCTGGAGGTCTGAGAGAAGAGGCTGAGTGTCCATGTGGAGTCTCGCCCATGTCATCTCAAAGAAATAATGGTTTACAAAACAGTTGCCAAATGTTAAAGAAGATGGATTTTAAGGCACTTATGTGCTTCATAAGTGACCTAGATGACTTGAGATTTTATTAAAACTTCCCAATTACCGATTTTATTTACTAACATTTTTGCTTTATGGAAGTAGTCCATTTTCAAGAATAACTATTGCCTGGAAGATAACTGATGAATTAAATTGGTACATAAATGAAACTCTGGGAGAGAAATCATGAAACATGTATATATTTCTCAACAATAGGGCCCATGAATCCTGAGCGATTAGGATTGATATGGTGACCTTCATAGGACAAATGATTTAAAAAAAACAGGAGGCCCCAAAACAGCAATGCTATTGGGGTGCTTAACTACTTAGCTTATTGTGTGCTAATGACACAAATGAGAAACTATGGGAAAAGTTTATTCTGGAGCTGAGCTATGCTGATCGTTGGACATTTATCTGCCTTTATTTCTATTGTTTTTCAAACCTTCAATGTGACATGTTAATGTCATTAGTTTTGTCACCAATAAGGATGGTGTAATAATTTTATCAATATATATTTGAGATTAATGATTTATGAATTTTTATAATATCATAAAAACCTTGATGTTTTGAGTTCATTCATTTGGGGCTAATTATTATCCCAAGTTTGTGAGGAGAAAAAATGTGACTTCTTAATTTTCCACAATGTGGAATTATTAAGGAGTTATAAACTATTGATAAGTTTAGTGCAAAAATGTTGGGCACAGTAATACTCAGTTTCACCGCAGTGCACATTGCTTCAGGAAGAATAGTACTATGCTTATAAGTGACAATGTGAATGTGTCTAGAGACGATACTAATCATTACTGAAATGAGGGCTATTAGCACTTTGATACAAAGTAACAATATCAGGTTTGCATTAGCTGTGAATAAAACAAAAATCAAATGCATTTCAAAAACCATGGCTAGTCCTCACAATTAGAAACATTTCAATAGAACGTAATTTTCAACAAGCAAAAGCGTAAGTTCCATTAGATTATTTTCAAATAGTTTTCACATTGCTTGAAGCAAAATAATGGGTCTTTGGGGGTCATTAGATAAATAGAAATGTATTAATTTACAATCCATTCTATTACTTCATACAAAGCAGAAAACAAAGAACAGGAACATGAAAAGCACTGTTAGTTCTCTAAGTTCAAAGTGAATGTTTTTCTACAGTTTTCTGCTATTGAAAAAGGGAACAAAAGACTCCCCAACTTGCCACGTATTTCTATTCTTTTAAATTTTCTTTATAGGCTTTGGAGTTATAAAATCTAGTTTTGTCATGAGATGTGTTTCTATTATTGTATCCATGTATGTATCAGCATGTCAGTTGTTTAACAAGTATACATCCAAAGTCCTTTATGCCTGATTGTACTGTGTTTTCATGAAGATCTTTCTTATCAAAACAATGTGATTCTATGTCTCCCAGTGTGAAGGTTGAATTATGTAGTTTTTAAGTAAAATATTACTGAGAAGTCTATAATCACATCTACATTGTCCTGCTGTACTATGTGAAAAATTATGTTGTTGTTCAATACATAAATTGGATATTTGCTCATAATTATTGTCAAATCTTTGCAGTTAAGGATTGAATTAACCCTGGTGCCGTACTTGATGACCAAAATATTTTTCCAATAAGTTTATATAACCAGGGATAATTATGATATAAAAGATTTTTAATATTGTTTCTAAGAGGAGGTACTACAATAAAGGTTAATATTAAATACACAAATATTTCACAAAAGTTATATAAAGCCACAACACACTTATAGAACTAAAAATTGAAGCCTTTATCTGAGTCAGAATTTCCTGTTTGGGGCTTAGAATAATGACTCCCTTAATTTTCAAATTACTATCATAGTCTGCAAGTGCATGAGTTAGTTTCCTCTAGATAATTAAACTTTTAAACTATACCTCTAGTTGGCTCTTCTTTTACACAGTTGATTCTCACAACTTCAGAATCTAGTGTAAATGGTTTAAAATCTTAAGCTCCATTCCTATTTGGAACATTTTGTTTTAACCTTTTTGAAAACATTAAATAATCAGGGTAAACATTTGACTCATAAGGAAGTATGATCAAAGTATTGCTTGACTTCTCCAGAGGAAGAGAGCTATTTTGAAATGAGGTTACAAGAGGAAGTTGCCAGTGGTGAGAATACCATGGGAAAATTCACAGTCACACACTAGACACCAGTCCTGAAGAGAGGACATAGTATCTTGCCTTCCCATTCAAGCCAAAGGCCATGCACCAGGAGTGAAAGAGGAGAACTCATGGAGGGGTTCTCTGCTTCTGTCCACTTTGTCTGATTTTCATTGGTCACCTGCCCTGTTTTTTCTCCAATTCCATCCTTGTCCTGTGCCCCAAAGCCCCAAAGGGATACTCACCACCCTAATATTAATCAACTCCATTAGGCTCTCCTTGTCTCCTGCAGTGAGCAAGGAACAAGTTTCAGAACAAATGAATCAAAGCTCAAGGAAAAAGGAAAAGGAGAAAGGAAGAGGAGATACTTCAGTTTATGCCCAGGAAATGAACATGGAAGTGTTAGTGTCTCTGTGACAGGATGCACAGCTCTGTGCATATACCCAGGAAAAGCATAGCAATGGCTTGTATTAGTTCTCTCTTTAGAAATTTGAGGAACCTTCCTACCAATTTCTACACTGGTGGCATCAGTTAATATTTCCATCAGGAGAGAAAGAGAGTTACTGCTTTCCTACTTTCTTTGCTGTCTGTTTTGTTGGTGATAGAACTTCTGATGGGTGAGATAGAATATCAAAGTAGTTTTCATCTGCATTTCCCTCATGGCTAATGATATTGAGCACTGTTTCAAATATCTGTTAGTCATTTGCATTTCATTTTTTGAAAAGGGGGGTAGTGTTTACTTAGTGTTCAATTTTTTGCTTATACACACATATGTGCATACATACATTATATATACAGGAGATGATATCATACACACACACACACACACACACACACACACACACACACACACACACACACACACCTGTGTGTGTGTGTGAATACCCTGTCTAATATATAATTTAGAGAGATTTTCTCCCATTCTATCTATTGTTTTGGTGGTTGTTTGCTTTGCTGTACAGAAGATTCTAATTCCATATAGTCCTATTTATTGATCTTTGAGGTTATTTTCTGTTCTACTGGAGTTATTTTCAGGAAGCCTTTGTACTGATATCATAAATTGTTTCTCTCTTTTCCTCTAGAAATCATAGAGTTTGGGGTCTTGGGATAAGTGTTTTATCCATTATGAAATTTTGTTCAGGATGAGATATATGTGTTACGATAAATCTTTCCGCCAAAAGCCACGCGAGTTCTACCACCATGTGAATGGACAAAATAATACAGAGACATATTAGGTACAAATGCTGCTTGGCCAATGACTAGGATTCTCATCTGTTAGCTCAGTCTTAATTATCATAAATCTATATATTTTATAAGACTTATCTTATAGAGAATGCCTTCTGCTGGCACCCTCTGTTGCCAGTGGATCACATTATGCCGCTGGAGGAGAGCAGAGGGGAAAAGGACACTTCCTGTTTCTCCTTGCTTAAATATGAGTCTCCTTGCTATGTCACTTCCTTCCTGGAACACCACTTCTCTAATACATTTCTCAGAATCCTCTTTGATTCCTAGTCCTGTCTAACCTAAACAATAAGATAAACATACACAGTAGTATTTCCCCCATCAGGTCATCTTAAAAAAGAATCAGGCACAGTACATTCCTCATCATATATGGATCTAAGTTCCATATAAATAACGATTTTTCACGCAGGATTTCTGAGAAGGCTCTCTTTTCCATGTATTTTTGAAACTTTTGCCAAAAATCAGGTGGCCATAGGTGTATTGATTCATGTCTAAGTTCCCTGCTTTTCTCCATTGGTCTACAGATCTGTTATATGCCAGCATATTGCATTCACCATGGCTGCTGTTATAATTTGAGCTCAGAACTTCTGATAGCCCCAGCTTTGCTTTCTGTGTTGGATTGCATTGTCTATTAGAAGTGTTTTGTCTACTAATTTGAGGATTTCTCCATAATTCTGTGAAGAATGTTACTGGAGAATATATTGAGTCTGTAGATTATTTTCTGTACTATAGCTATTTTCACAATACTCTGCCTATCCATGGGCAATGAGGGTATTTCAGCCATATAGTATCCTCTTCAATTTCTTTTTTCAATGCCTTAAGGATCTCATTTTACTCATCTCCCATTGCTAGGTTTATTCCTAGGTTTCTTGCTTTTTATATTTATTTCTTTATTTATTCATATTTTTATTTCATTCATTTATTTACTTATTAGGCTCTAGGGACCAAATGCATGTCATTGTCCTTTTTAAGCAATCACTTCACAGTGAAATAAAAATCTTAATTCTTTGATTTTTGTTTCAGCTTTGGCTGTTGTTGTTAATTTTAATGAGTTATTCATCCTAATTCCTTCGTTGAAAATGAATTATTGATTTGTAGAAAAGCTATTGATTATTGTATAATGATTTTGCATCCTACTTAGCTGAAAGTGGCTATCAGGTGTTAGAGATCTGTGGTGGCATGTCTGGGTTCTTTTAAAGAAACGATCGTTTCATTCATCTACAGGTATAATTTTCACTTTTGCTTTCCTCTTTACATGTCTTTTTATATATGTCATTTATTATCTAGCTAAGGCTTGAGTCACTTTATTAAATAAGAGTGGAGAGTGTGGACTCATGTCTTCTCCCATATCTCAGAGGAATGCCTCTCAATATTGCCCATCTAGTATAATGTTGGCTGTGGTTTTGTTATAAGGAATATGTAGCCTTTATAATACTGCAGTGTAATTCAACAACACTTAATTCCTTTAGAAGTTTTATCATGTTGAATTTCATTAGATGTCTTCCTGCATCTACTGAATGGTTATGTGATTTCTGCCCTTAAG